AGTGATTTATTGATCAGTTATTGTTCATAATTGTTAAATATGCGACTTGTTTTCCTTATAGACTCAAAGGACGGAGACTCAGTATATTGAGTCGTTTCTCCCTGTCAACTGTGCCTCTGAAATTCGTAAGCGGCCCCCCTCCATCTATGCATCCACTAAGGGAAATGTTATACAGAAAGCTAAGGTAAACACATCAGTGTTCACAACATTATGCAGTGCAATGCATCAAAAGACAGATCATGCAAACAGAAGTTTGCTGCATCAATAGAGATCACATTAAAACAGTCAGTCTCTAATGAGTTTCATTGATCAGTTTGGGTCCCTGCTATTAAGATTTTATATGTTGCAGAATAGGCCTGTTCGTGTGTCACTTAAACCGTATTGCTTTGTTTTTACCCAGGAATGGGAATCCAAGAAGGGGACTTAAACTGCTTATCAGGAAGACCCACAGACTTAAGACTTTGTGCCATGTCAAGGTTAACATGAGGACTTCTCTACCAACTTCCCCCAAGACAGACTGCCATATATGCAAATCTTTTGACTACAACGGCTGCCACTTTTGCAACTTTATAACGGGGCTAGAATGAAAAAGCAGCAGCTCTATTATAGTACTTTGCAGTCAAATTATGTCCTCTATCTTGTGAAGTTCTACATTACCGGCACAAAATATTGAAGGATTGAGGCGGTATGAGGAATAATAGTTTGTCCACTGAAAGTGAAAGAAAGGGTTGTGGGTAGGTTATAAAGAAAGATGGCAATGCATGTTTGAGACAATCCACTTTCAAATAAGTCTTTTAAGAGAGGCATGGTGATTGATTTGTACGAAGTCTTTTTTTTTTATCCATTGCTTTTACAGTACTTATGGGGTAACTCCTGCTCTTAACCAAGTGGTGCTAATAACAGTGTACATATGACAACTGTAAATAATTTTAACATTCTTTTCTAAAACTAGCCTCAATGTGTTTAACTGATACTTCTGTTTGTAACCTTTTCTTTACCACCTTTTAATGTGAGTAACATTTGCACTTTAAAATGTCTTTAGACACGGAGATGGGAATATTCTTTTAATAAAGGAAAAAGTGTATTTTTGTTCTTCGTTACAGACTTGCATGGGAACTATAAATTAGAAACAACATCGGGCATTACTGAGATCTTATACAAACTAGACCCTAACCCAAATTAAGTGAACATTCATATTTCCTAAAAACAGTGACATTTAATAACCCTAGTGTGCCACTAAAAGAAAAAACCTTATAAACTGGATTTACAGAAAAGAGGACTAGTAGATTGTCAGTTAAATGTTTAAAGAAGTACAACACCTTTAGTGAGATCTTAATACTACTGAGGAACTGACCCAGTTAAGTTTAAACAGACCGCTTGGCGTCAGACTAACATACAAACAGAAGTTTCATAAAACGTTTAATACAGTAAAGAAAGCAAACCATTTAAAAAGTACAAAGTTAATCCACAAAGTTTAGAGTTCACACTCAGGGGGCAAGTCAACAGTCAGCTCGCTGATCGTCTGTAGGAATGCCTCCATTTCATCATCGTATTCCACTGCTGCATGAGAGGAAAAAGTTCAACTGGGCATAAAGACAACTTTAAGATACATTTCTAAATACATCCATCCATCACCTCTGGGCATCTTTAAAGGTGAGAGTGGCAAACATGGGTCCATAAGCAGCTCTTCCACAGGTGAAGCAGTCGGCCACATCCGTTTTCCCAAACCAGCCAGAGAGAAACGACTAAGGCAGACTTCATCTGGAACACCGTAGGTCTCAAACTCTACAAATTTAACATGGGACAGAATTATCAAGAGCTGAACTCAAATGTAGTTTTAAAGGCAAAAAAACAGCAGGTCGGTCTTACCACTTGGATTGTATGGGAAACACTTCTCAATCTCTGGCAACTCCTCACTAGCTGGTCGAGCAGGAACCTTACACTGATGGAACAACAACACATTTAATCAACCTGCAAACAACGTTCATAGTTTTCTCTGCAGATCAAGAACAAACCTTGGCTTCAGCAGGTTTAGTCTTCTCCTCTGCTTTATGAGAGGCTGCTGGAGTGGCAACAACCTTATTTATGACACCCAAAGCTTTACGGCTGGACTGCAGAGGAGCGCCAAGACGTGCCTTTCCGGTCAGAGGTGTTCTCAAGCACTGATCTGAAAATGTGACAGACGTAAATTAAGGACTTCGTGAATAGCTCCGTGTTGGTTTGGTTAGGAGACCAAACCTAACGTTATATTGGTCTCTGACCACCGGCACTGACCCGGAGCAGAGTGCAGTCTGTTCTGGCGAGACTTGATGGCTGGAGTGGTCAGTCTGCCGTTCTCCTGATCCAGGTAAATCATGGTGTCCATGTCTGTACGTTAGCTTTTAAAAGCTTGGACAAGCAACACAATGAAAATGTAACTCGTTTGGTACAAATAATGCCATTCATGATTTGTAACGAAGCAATTCGTCCAGCTTGGCAATTCCATTTGTCAGTTTTGCATTAAACATAAAAGTGACTCGCGGAATATTACGTGAGGTTTATCATTACATACAGGCAGGTTAATATATATATATATATATATATATATATATATATACGTAACTTAGACTTCTTAAGTTAAACCTTACCGTTTCTCCTCTACTCAAGCAAAACGACGTTTGTTTCGGTTCCAAGTTTCCCGGCTGAGTTTTAAAAGGCAACTTGCTTCCTGATTGGCTGATGGATTTTCCTCTTTGACCAGACGATGCTCTTAGTTCATTGAGGAAGCGCGACAGTGCCACCTTATGGCCAGAGTGAGTAAAGCAATAGAGAATGAGAATGTGACGTAACGCCGCGTTGAGTTCTTGTTTATCCGCCATATTTGCAGGATAGCGCTGCCTTTCCGCTATTGAGTTTAGGGCAGTATTTGATTGTTTGTCGTGATTGTGAAAAATGTCACCGGTGTATGTCATTCATACTGCATCGATAATTGCAATAGTAACTCAGATCATCGTTCTGAGAGAAAACTATAGAGAATGAGAAGTAACCATGGGAACGGATAGCGTATCCTGCTAATATGGCGGCGCCTTCCCGAAATGCAATGCGGAGTGAAAAGATCGTGACGTAACTCCTCATTCTCTATTGGATAATAGATGATCAGTGATTTGTTGGCGGTGATGCACGAATGGCGTTCAGTCTGATAAACCCGAAGAAGAAAGTGAAATCTCCAAATATATAAATTAAAATGGGTGGATGGACCCATGGATGAGTAGATTGGGTGATTATGAGTGGGTGATTAAGTAGTCAGATGTTTCATTACTATTGTATCACCAGAACAATTTGATTGAAAATGTAAACATTACTATTGTATCACCAGAACAATTTGATTGAAAATGTAAACATAACTACTGTTACAAATTAGCTTAGGCAGGGCTGCCAACTCTCACGCATTCAGCGTGAGACTCGCAATTGACACTATTCTCACGCCACACAACCATTTTCTCACGCAGAAAAATGTCCCTGCCAAATTCAATATTTATTTATGATTTAAAAAAAAAACTTCAGACAGCGCTCGTCAATGTCAGAATGATTTAGATGGCCAATCAAATCAAAGAAGGGCGGGGCTTCACTGTTCCAGCGCGATCACTTTTTAACAGTGAAAGAGTGTGAGGTAAGTAGGAAAACATTTATTATTTGACAGCTGTTTCACAACAGAAATGTTAAATAACCAAACGTTTTGCTCATTTACGTGATTCACGTAATTCGTAACCGAATGTGGCAAGGAACATTTTGTTGTTTTGCTTTTACAACATTTGCACAAATTAACTCCTAATTGTATGTGTGTTTTAAAATAAAATATTATTTGTGGATAGTTAAATGGATTACGAAAAATTATTTCAATTGTTCTCATCTGTTTTTAAGATGTTAAGCCTTGTCACAGCTATGCGTGTTCGTCGTTTAGGTTAGTAACTAATATGCTGTAACGTATGCCCGATGTAGAAATAAGTTAGCATTATCAAAGTTATTTGTTTTGCAGTATTGCAGTAATTTTACATACTTCTGTGATAAAAACACAGTAACGTTAACGTTGAACCAGTCATCATGACGTTAACTACGAGACAAATATCTGGGCGTGCCTACATTTAGTTAATGTTAATTATTGTTTTCTAAAGAAACAGACTAGGGACATCAAGGATAGACCAACTCAAATGATTTTATTTATATTCATTTTGATTAAAACATTTATAATTCATCAATAATGTCAAACATAATCCAGTCAATCATGTCATTGAGGGCTTCTGGTCCAACATGGCAAGCTTAAAACATAAGGGCAGAAATCTTTGAGGGTCTTGAAAACTTGAACCAATGTTCAGTAACTTCTAAATGTATGAAAGGTGTAACATAACCATGTTGTCCACGTTTTACAGGTGACAGGGGTGGGACTCTCCAGACTCTCCACTGTTGCTAAATTGGTTTTAGTTCTGCCCCACGCCAATGCTGATGCAGAGCGGGTGTTTTCATTGGTGGGATTGAACAAAACAAAAACTCGAAACAGCCTGGCTAACTTGGAGCCATGCTACAAGTGGGAGCCACCCCAGTCAGTGATAAAGGCTGCAAAAGCAGCCACCCGCGCTTACAACCGAACACACATTAATTGCTCATTTTGAGCACATGTTAATTTGTTTCTTTTATTTGTCCCCCCCACACACACACACATGCCCCGCCCCACAATTATTCTCACTCCAAGCTGAAATCAAAAGTTGGCAGCCCTGGCTTAGGTGATTATTAGTGACATATTACAGTGAAATATTGCATAATCGCATACGTTTCTTTGTTTTGTTTTATTCATTCCTTTTTTTAAATATTAAAACTTTATTTACAGGTTTGATTTTGAATTAGATTTGGCAATGTGGAATCAGATTGTGGACCCCATACAGTCATACATGCATACACTGGTGACCATTAATGCTTTTATTTAATGCCATTTATTATGGTCAGTGCTTATGGAGTTTACAGTATCCCTACAGCGCATTACGTTTACCTAGCAAAACAAAGCAAGATGAAAAACAGGTAAAGCATTGAACCCTTAAATAAATCAGTAATGTGAAGGCAATTGCGAACAGCATCCTCCTTTGTGTCATGCTGCAGATGAGTCTGTGTGGTGATTTATGGGTGTCCATATAATCTTCACTTTCATTGTTGTGTAGAAATACTTGCTTCAATGCAACAATGAACCAAGTCCAGCTCCTTCTTACACTGCACTATTTAACTGTAATTGATGGGTAGTCAACAGTATTTTCAGTTTTACAGTCATTTGTGCAATACTTTGTTCATTAATGGAGATGGGAGGTAGAGTTGTTTATCCATTAGAATAAAAGGTAGTAGAGCCAGTAGAAAATATTGACGAGGAGAAATACCATGGGGAAAAATACACGTGCATTTCTGTCGATGTTACATCTTTAAGTCTGGCTTAAGTGTCCAAATTCTTTTTTGGGATTTTGTAAACCACGATTGCACTGTAAGCTGCTTAGAAGTAAGACGTCTGCCAAATGCATAAATATAAATGTAGAATGTGGCTGAAAGACCAAGACTGACTGGCCAGGACCAGGACATTCACAATAAAATTTGATGCTTTTACCTGTTTCATACACCGCTTCAGATACGGTTGTGTAGTAGCTCTCCACACTGTACTGAGCCAGACGCAGTGTATCTAACCCCTTCACTGAGTCATTCCCTCGGGTCCAGTAAAACACCACATCCTGTAAATTATAGCCCCCTGAACATGCATGCACACACATACAGGTTTAAGGGTCTGTACAGCCTGCTCTTGAATAATCAATAAAAGAAAATCAGCAAAAAACATATGCATTTGTTTTGAAAATGCTTACAGCTTTCTAATTGCAATGTACACTCTTGTCTATCCATAGGATACTTGGTGAGGTCCATGTTGCAGGCGATGGTTGCTGTTATGCTGTGGAGAAAAAGAGGAATATTGATTGAACCATTTCAGTGGGAAGGTTCCCCAGATGCACATACATCTGCCCGGAGCAGCTGTTCAGCCTTTGGTAAGAAGTTGTAAATTCCGAGTCAGTGTTTACCGAAGAGCATAGAGCACAGTGCCGTTGCTGAAGATGCGGATCAAACGGTTCTCCACAGTTACATCATGGAGGAAAGAACGCTTAGAATCAGGGATGAATGTATCAGGGATCCACAGCAAAGAAACCAGACGGCCATCCAGACTCAGACTTTCATTTCCAGGGAATATCAGGCGAGAATCTCGCCATCGTTGTCTTAGGAAGATAGTGGCTGTGTAGTCCTGAAAGTGCATGAACAAAATTGATCAGAATCTTATTAATCTGTTGCCTGAAGCCTCTTATCAAAGTAAGTTTATACATTTAAATGGTACCATGTTAATCTCAGAGATGGCATCGATGCTGGCTATATCCAAACTCATTCCAATTTCAACAGGCCCCACTGTGGAAACAAAGAAATGTGTTTTTATTATTAGGTTTTAATTATTTAAATAACTGTATGTGTTTTAATTCTCCATTAATTATTTAATTAGCCTCACGGTTAAAGTTTGGCCTTAGGTATCGATTGTAGCCTTTCATCAGCCTCTGTATGGTGGGCTGCAGTTTCGAATCATTCCACTCGCCGTAATGATTCCCATAAAATCCTCTTTCACTGGGAGACAGTGAGAGATGTTAACAATGTGAATGTCTGGTGATTCTTAGTCTCAGTGCGTCAGATGTTTATCTCTTTACTCACCAGTTTGTAATCAACAGAAATAGACTCATCCAGAACAGAAGATAGAGCAGCATTCTGTGATAATGTGATACAGATGAGCAGTGGCTGTGAAGAGGATTTTAGAAAAACATTTAGTTAAAATCGTCCCCATCAAGGACGGATTATGACCCTATGACACCTTGGGCACCAGCTTCTCTGATGGTCCTATCTTGGCACCCCACACAGTTTTTTCCAGGGATTATACAAATTAGAGAATAAGTTTTTGTAATTTCGCCTTTGTATTCTACATTTACCTGTTGAAATGTCTTATAGACTTATGGACTTTTTATCAAAATTATTCCCGTAAAACTAAGAGCTGCAGTTTTAGTTTAAGTGATAGTTCACCCAAAAATAAATATTCTGTCATGTTACTCAAATTATATTAAAATACTAATTATTTTTTCTTCTGTTGAACATAAAAGAAGATTGTTGGTTGGCTGGTTGCAGGTGCTGGTCCCAACCAGCATACATAGTATTGAAAAAAATATATTGTAGAAGTCAATGGAGACCAGAAACTTTTTGGTTGCCCACATTCTTCAAAATATCTTCTTTTATGTTCAGCAGAAGAAAGAAAATCAAACAGGATTGAAACAATTTGAGGGTTAGTAAATAATGACAGAATATTAATTTTTGTGTAAACTATCCCTTTAAGTGGCTGATGATAAAACTGAGTGATGCAAAAATTGATGCAGGGTTCTGTTTCCTGCTGTTTTGATGATTAAATCACTTTTCTATTGCCTTTTTGGTCATATTTGATTACTAGATAAAACTTTTAATTTAATTTTTTAATTTAAATTTTTTTTAGTAATTAGCAAATTGGTAATGAATTATTCAGCAATAGTGAATGAAATTACTAAAGCATTTTTTTAAAATAACTCAACAGAACAATTTGCAAATTAAAAATTTCTATGAAAAAGTTTCTATTATAGAATTTTCATGACTTTTCTAGGCCTGGTAAAATTCCTTGATATTACCAGATTTTAAGTGATCGTGGGATCCTTGTCTTCAATACCTTTTTGCAGTATCAATACAA